ATTGAGCCTACATGGCCCAAATCTGTCAATGTCACAACTGGCTCAGTTGTGATTTGGTTTACAAGGCCCAAATCTGTCAATGCCACAACTGGCCTAGTTGTCATTGGGTTTACATGGCCCAAATCTGTCAATGCCACAACTGGCTCAGTTGTGATTTGGTTTACAAGGCCCAAATCAGTCAATGCCACAAGTGGCCCAGTTGTCATTGGGTTTACATGGCCCAAATCTGTCAATGCCACAACTGGCTCAGTTGTGATTTGGTTTACAAGGCCCAAACCATTCATTGCCACAACAGGCCCAGTTGTGGTGTGGTTTATGTAACCCAAATTTGTCATTGCTACAATTGGCCCAGTTGTGGCCCAGTTGGTGTATGTAACCCAAATTTGTCAATGCCACAACTGGCCCATTTGTGGTTTGGTTTACGTATCTTAAATCTGCCAATAAAAATTAGCAAATTTGTCAATGAGAGTTGTGTAAAACAAAAATTCAAGATAAAATTAAAACATTATAAATTAAAAGTCTAACGGTCCTTGAAGAAAATTTTTGTCGCCCACATATTTTCATGCCAGAATTATCTTCTGCTGCAGTGCAAAGCTTTTTTGGTCAAACTCTATAAATGACATCAGGTGCAACATCATGAWATATTATGAGAACTCACCCAATGTTTAGCACTCAGGGTATGTGTTATTTAGGTTTGGGCAAAATCGTATCATGTGCAATTAATCRTTAGTAAAACTGYCAACAATTAATATTTGCCACTTTGCAATTACTGCAGTTAGTGCTATGTGATCACTGCCTTTAAACGTTGGTGAGAAACAATAACAATAGAGAGTATGTAGACTTTTTGTGTGTGGATTTAAGACATGGCTCCCCACTAAAGAACCTTGAAAACCATCGAAGCTCAGCAGAATTCAGCTTGGAACTGAAACCTGAACCTGTTTGTCGCAAAGAAGGAGCCACGTGTCCACTCTGAGCAGGAGATGCCGGCCAGTTCACTGAAAAGACGTGTCATCTGTGGTCAGGTGAGCATTTGAGGGGCAAAGTGGACATTTGTTTCTACATTCCTGAGATGAGACCGATGGTCCAGGCTGTTGTAAACAAAATGTGGAAAAAGCCAGCGTCTGTGTCGGTACAGGACAGTCGCAATGACATGACTGACTGTGTGAAGATTCMATTGATGCGGAGGCGTAGTTTATGGTTTTTGGCTCTTCTCTGCTACACAGACATCTTTTATAATTTTAAAATCACAACTTTGAACAAGTTTATTAGTTTACTCATTAGCCTATAATTAAGCTACATGTTTTGATGTTTATCGCCCGCTCTGAAAGGGCAATAATGTTTTAACCTGTGTCTCTGTGTGGGTTATTTCTTTGTTGGTTTAACAAAATATCCCATGAACCACTGGATCGGTTTTGGTAACACGGTCGCCACTGGCTCTCTGGATGAAGATCTACAACTGGTTTAGACTCGACCTCATTCAAGATGGCCGCCACACCAAAGCTACTGTAAGAAACACAAAAACGTCAACAATTCTGTCAAAARACTGAGCTAAAATTTGGTGTTTTAGCARCTGAAGATCTTCATCAACTTGTACTGTGATTACAAATCAATTGCACAAAATGTGTTTTGAAAACTTTAACAAAAACTGTTGGAGTCGACTCGGTCCGTCTGGTAGCAAAGTGATTGRATTTTATTGAAACTCTCAGAAAATAATAACTGGGTGTGCATCTAAAACTTGTCAACTTTTGGAGTCATCCCARTTCAAGATGGCCACCATGGTCAAATTATCTTAGGAGATCCAAAAATGACTCAGCAAATTTCACAGATATTGAGCTAAAATTTGCTGCAGTAGTAACTGTTTTATATTTATGTTTAAAACGTCCAGGAAAAATATAATTTGAAAAACATCTACAACCGATGAACTTTTAATTTGGCAGAGTTATAGCTGAGAGGCATCCACATCAATGAAGAGAGATACCACAACATTGTATAACGACACAGTTTGACCAGAAAAAAAAAAAAAAAAACAGCTCTGTCCCTGCTCAACAGAAGATGATTTTAATTTAAAACTTTGGCATGAAAGATGGCATCAGGCAATCTGAAATCAATTAATTTCACACAACATATTCTGCAAGAAGATGTGCAAAACTTTTTCTTTTTTTGCACACAAGCAACATCTTAAAAACAGAACACAAGCCAGACTTTATCAGTGGAAGCAGCCGCACGCAAAGTTTGCAGCCAGAACCGATCCCCTTACATGGAGCAGAAATTTAGATTTTTGTTGTTGTTTGTTTTTCTTTCATGTGCCTCGTAGACAAGATTATTCAAATGTTTCGTCTGACTGCCAAAGAGCCGTGCAGGAAAAATAATAACAGCCCTGCGCGAACCGCTGTGTCCCTGGCAGCTCTGCAGCTTGTAACCTCTGATAATTATATTGAGAGCCCAGCTGTAATGACAGCCTTCTGAAGCCACGGGGAGAAAAGACTTTCCTCCTAAAGCGAAGCCRCGGTCAAACTGCTGCTTTCTGACACGCACACATGAGATAATGTTTTGTAGGAGGCGTGCGGTTTTACGAGAGGCTATATCAGCTTGGAAAAACGAGGGGTCCGCGCCGCCCACTGGGCTGAACGCCGCTGCCCTGTGGTCTGCCTGGGATGAGAGGCAGCAGGAAAGTCAAACAAACACCCTGTGTGCTATGCAGTGGTTTTCATTCTGCCATAAATCCACTTCTTCCCTGCAATATGAGACATATAGAAAATGTTTTCTGACTGGGTTTAAAAAAGGACCTTTATTAAGTGCTGAGATAGGTATTTTGAACAGTCTCTCTCACACACACACACACACACACAGATCCCTCAGGTTCGACACCAAACAGCCGTGAGATAGTGGAGTTTGTACTTTACACCCAGACAAACACGAGCAACTCAAACACAAAGCCGGCTGCAGCTCTTTTGACTCTGAGTTTATTTAAGCCCCCGGCTTTCCTCTTTTATTTTCGAGGAAAACAAACCCTAAAAGTCCCATTCAAACATTAAAGTGCCTGTGACACGAAATGTTTAAAATAAATATAAAAGCATTATTGGAAAGATAACATTATTAGCATATTGCAAAAATAATTTCCAGCTGCTGAGATGAACAGTCGTTGAGAAATTTGCATGTGAAGGAACAGGAAGTGATGTCGAAGGGGAATGTCTGCATGGAAAAAGCATTGATAAAATAGCAAACGACACAGACTGTAGAGAAAAATCTGATGTTTTCTTAGATTATTTTRAGTCTCTATCAGAGAGATGAAGACGAGTCAGAGTTCAAATAATATTGTTTCAATAAACAAAGATTACAGAGTTCTCTTTCTTACGGAGTTCCCCTTCGATGTCACTTCCTGTTGCACTTTGGCTGAGCCAAGTTCAAAAGAAAATATGCCATTTATTTGACAAAAATGGGTAAAATCACATGTTTTATGCAAGGCTTCTTATATAAAAATGTGTTTTCTTTGACCTTTTGTATTTGATGGATAGGCATGTCACAGGCACTTTAAAACCCCAACGTTCTTCAKCCTTTCATGCCAGAGTTTTAAACTAACGCTGAAAGAGGAGGTGTATGATTGAGTCGAACCTTAAAAAATAACGTTAGGCGCAATCGCATGATTTCTAAACATCATGGTCACAGTGTGTGCAACTAATACCACATCAAATTATAGCTCAGTATCTGTAAAATTCAATGAGGTGTAGCTATTTTTGTGTTGCCTATTRTCAATTAGCTGCAGCATCCATCTTTAATTGGATTGACTCCAAATGTTAATCAGTTGTAAGTGGACATGTAAGTATTACTTCCTACAATTTTCACTACAATCCATTCATTGGGATGTTAGAATTTTTTTGCTAACAGACAAACAGGGTTCATATTAACCAGTAATGCTTAAGTATTAATGAAAGATCTTGTGTATAGGAGTAGCGCACAGAATTTTGTTTTGTGTTTGACCCTCAACTACAGCCACACCGAATTTTAGCAYAATATCTATATAAATGACTGAGGTATAGCCGTTTTTGTGTTGTYTACAATCAATTGCCTCTGGTAGCCATCTTGAATTGGATTGGCTCCAAAAGTCAATCAGTTGTAGAGACACATACAGTAATTATTTTCTGCAAGTTGTATTTAAATCCGTCAAGCAGTYCATGAGATATTTTGYTAACAGACAGACAGAGGTGACACCAACAGGTCGTGCCAAATTTTTACACAAAGATCTAATGCATTGTGTGGAGCTCACAGTAGGTGTTGGGAATGACTCTCAGCTACTACCTCCTCAAATTTTAGCTGAATGTGTTTTTAATTGAGTGAGTTGCAACCGTTTTTGTGTTTCCTGAGTTCGATTAAGCTGCTTTAGCCAACTTGAATCAGGTCTACTCGAAAAGATGATCAGTTGTAGATGTGCAACCAGTGACAACTTCCTGCAAATTTTGCTAAAATTTGTTCAGCGGTTCAGGAGATATTTTGCTAACAGAACAGGCAAAAGCATTATCGCCAAAGATCAGTGAACTATACAGCCTCCCCTGACAAAAAGGTTTTTGTTTATTTATTTTATTTATTTTGCAGGAGTTGTTGTGAACACTGCAGCAGCCACCGAAGCATGCCGTGTTAGAATTTCTCACCTTGTCAGAAAACATCTCAGCGTGGAGCAGCAATTTCCAAAATGGCACAGCACACATCAAACCACACACAGGGGGGGAAAATTATACACAATCCTTAAAGGCAACCAAGTGGAAATTCAGTGAGCTGGTCTATGGAGATGATGGACAATCTCACAAAAATCCTCTGTTAGACTCTTTGCCATTTGCTTCCTCTTCCCTCTAACGTTTCCAGTTCTGCAGCTCCTCCTGAATCATCATTTCATCAGAAATAAGAACCACTGGTGRACACCGGCAGCAGGCAAAAGTTTCATTTGACCCCGTTAATAACAATGAGAAATAATGTTATTTATTTATCTGTTCTGTTAAAGCTCTCACCTGAGGACAGGGATGAACCTGACAGGCTGGAGTTACTGGATGCTGCCATCCCAACCAGTTCCCCTCCACCACCACACCGGTTTGGTCACTCCCAGGTGGGCTCAGAGCGGCTCGTGCCCCGGCGGTGCCTCCTCCATGCCCCCCTCCACCTCCGTCCGTGTTTTCACAGTCTTCTGACGGCTGATCCCACCGCCTCCTCCTCTCCTCCCCGGTCCGGTCCGTCAGTATCTGCTGGTCCTCTCCTCCCTCCTCTTACCTCGGCTCGGCTCGGCTCGGTTCGGTTCGGTGCCGCATACAGTGAAGCTGCTGCTGCTGGTGGAAACACAGACAACACGCGCTCCGTGGAGCTTGAATCAGCGAAGCGTTTCCTCACGCTGACTGAGCGGTGTGCGTGTGTGCGTGTGTGCGTGTGTGCGTGTGTGTGTGTGTGTGTTACTTCATGAGTCATGAAGCAAACAGACTGGTTGAAGCACATGATAGCTGCTGCTACAACTTTGCGTATTTTTACAGAGTTCTGTCGAACGACGGAACGATTATTTTGTGTTTTGGCGCCATCTTGTGGACAAATCTGGAACTCGCACAAATTAATCACAAGCTGGACCAAGGGCCTCAAAGCGGTCAATCTTATCACAAAACTATAATATCAAGAAGACTTAACATCAAATGAACTTAAAGCATAATCAAAACAACAAAATTCACCTAAATTACTATAGATTATAACCATAAAATAAATTAAGGCCTCCCATATCAGAGATTTGAACTGAAGTCACATGATCAGAAAAGACAGAGTTTTAGCCTTTTTTATATCAAAGTTTTTGATTAAGATTGAGAGCACTTTTATTAGCGTGCAGAATATGTGTTGATGATGACTCTCAGCTACTACCACACCAAGGTTTAGCTCAGTTTCTGTAAAATCCACTAAGTTACAGCCACTTTTGTGTTGGCTAAACGTGATAAGCAATAAAAGCCTATTTGAACTGGGTCAACTCCAAATGTTAACAAGTTGTAGAAGCACAACCAACAGTTACTTTTCAGAGTTTCCCTGCAGTCTGTCCAGTGATTCAAGAGATATTTTGCTTAAAAAACTATATAGCTACTGCCAAAAGTTTAATCTTTAGTGATCAGTAAACGACAGTTACTCTTATTGTGAATTATGCAACAACACTTAACTTAAGACCAATATTTAAGACATGTAAACTATGTTAAACTTGTAACATTTTGTGCACAATGTAAGGAAAGTGACCTAATTAAAGTAATGATAGTGGAAACGTTTTAACTGGGWTTTTACTTTTAGGAAGTCAGCAAAACAAAAATATGTTTGTGACTTTTTTTACACTGGACTTTACCCCAGCTGCTGCTTTAACTAACTAAATCAGAGGTTCTCAAACTGAGGTCCGCGAGCAGTATCTTGTGGGGGGCATCCTCAAAAAATTTCAAAAAATTTTTTATTTGTTTTAATTAAGGGAAATTTATATGGGGAACAATGCACTGGTATAATAAAGCAAACAAAAATGATATTACCACAGTATTTATGGTTTTAAATTACAGGAAATTATTTTTAAGACAGTATGGGGTTTATGAGGGGGTCCCTGGAACATCCTTGTAAGGGGTCCCCAGACCCAAAAACTTTGAGAACCCCAGAACTAGATAATTTGTCAGTCTGAATAATAAACTACAGATTCCTGTAAGACAGCGTTCAGGGCTGCACCGAACAACTACAAAAAAAGGGAAACAATCTCTACGTCATAGCCTCACACTCACGTGACTCTACTGTTGCCACATACGCGATACTTATCGTATCTAAGCGATAGTTKTAGGTGTTTACGATTCATATGTTTTTTTTTAAAGATAAGTACTTTTAAAAACTATATCCAATAGTTTGAGTATTTCCGTGCACATACCACACCCACAACACACGCGCACACTCGACACATAGCGGGCTAAGCTAGCTTTTTAGTTGAAATAGGAACGTTTAAATCGACAGTACGATAATTCGTCACTCCCTGTCTGGCAACCCTTGGAGCCGCTCTGATCATGTGACTCWGCTTGTGAAGAGTTGTTTTCACTCCACCTGACCGTCCTTCTCATCGCGGTCCCGTCGCTGTACAAACCACGGGATAATGAGGTGAGTTTTGCACAAATTGAATTTATTTCCACCCCCCTCTTTTTTTCAGCCCACGAGCCGGTTGGTCACGCGCTGGAGCTGCTGKGACACCTGAGCCGAGCGGCGGTGTGTGGGGCCTGTATCCTGATACATTATGTTGTGAAATGTTTGCAGGCTGTCGGGGGGAACTCTGGGTTTCTTCTTACTGCTCTGGGTCTGCGTGGAGTCCCTGAACTCCCGGGGATGCTCGTCGTTTTTCTGCCGAAAATCTCAGCGCGTGAGCGGCCTGGATCCCGGCGTCGACCCCGGCTCTCCYCTGTTCCTCACTCCTTACCTGGAGAAAGGCGCCATAGATGAAGGTAACAAACCCCTCACAGCCAGCATTACTCATCCTCACAGCTGATGTGATGTCAGCACCTCTGCGTGGTTTTTTTTTCTCTGCCCCTCCAGCCAGAAAGCTGAGTTTGGTTGGAAACCTCCCTGGAGCAAATGTGAAGAGTTATTCTGGATACCTGACGGTCAACAAGCAGTTCAACAGTAACCTCTTCTTCTGGTTCTTCCCTGCTCTCATGGTGAGCTCAGCTTTTTTACACTTTTACAAGAAAAACAACTAAAACAACACATCCAGGAAAAAACATTGTTCTCTGTTTTATTTCATTTATTTGTTGCTGTATTTAATCAGCTGCAGCTCCAGAACTGTTTCTTTAACAATTTTACTTTGTAACCAAAATCCCCACAGCAGATTAAAAACAATGTTTGAATKTAAGGGGCCATATCATGCAAAATCCATTTTTAGCAGTTAACTATTTTAGGGCTGCAACAATTAATCAATTAATCGGCGACTAAGACAAATTTAATAATCGATTAATCTTTTTCTTTTTGTTCTTTACTTTGTTTTTCCCTCCAAACTGCTTTGACACCTTCCACTGCCACAT